TTTTAATAGACTTTTTATAGTGGGCTTCTATAGTTATTTCTATAGAATTTTCTATAGATTTTCTAAACAATTATGCTATAGACATTCTATAGTTTTTTTTGGATAGAATTCTATAGAATTTTTTTGTATGGGTCTTTACGAATCATGGGATGAATATCTAGTTTTATATGTACCTTAAGTTGATCATCTTTATCTTTTAAATGTTTCGCTTTGTTAAGCACTTAACTTCTGTTGACGTGTTTAAGTTTTACCAGGATAGGACGATTCCACAGCGTATCTTTCTTACCAATTTTTTTTTTTTTTTTTTTAGTTTGCGTAGAATACGCTGTCTCACTGAACACCAATTACTTTAAATACATCTGTTATCACTTTTGCATCATCAGTATTTGTATCTTCCCAAACACCAGTCACGATCACGTTTTCAGGTCTACACCGAAAATAAATCTGCTCAAGAAAGGTCTGCTGTTGTTTAACAACTTTTAACTAACATTTGTGACTCTCTTAGGCTTTTAATCTCAAGTAGAATTTCAGTTAAATCATTACCAACATTCGCAGCACCACCTGCTTTTCTGTTTAAAAAAGCGTTCAACTTACACTTAGATAAGCTTTACAGGTCCGCCATGCTTGATGGCTTAGCCATGGGTGCTGTCTCTGGGCACAACACAGTCAAAACCCCGATACCGCAGCCAAGCACCATTAACAAAACTCGCACAACAAAACAGAACAATTAATAAAAAAACAACGCGTCGTTGGTCGTCACACGCATTTCGCAGGAATATTATATTCATAATTAAAGTGTAATTTCAATTTGATAACGAAGAAAACGCATCTGCTAAAACAACGGGTTGTCTAGGGGGAATTCCCAACACAGCGTTTGACTGTGACAGAACAGTGAAAAGGCTGACACAACTGTAGGCGTTTGGCCTTTAAACACGGAGGAAAGCCGCATACTTACACACTGCTAACAATGATTTATCATATTAAGTATATGTAATCGTTAATATTGTAGTTTATAAAATACTACTGTCTTTATAACATTCACCAACCTAAAGGATATATACAGAACTAAGACAAGGAGAGTTTAGAGCTTCTGTAACTCCTTCCTTGTGTGCTCCCATCTTTGATGGGTCTGGCCCTTGTGGAAGCCAGTCTTTACATATTGTCTTATTTACTCCGTAATGTTTACTATTTTGATGATAAATTAATCATATATTCATTAATAAGTTTGATGAGGTATTGTTTTTCCAGTGCAACTCCAAATATAACCTATGGGGCTTTTTAGATAATACTTTTTTTTTCTTTGCAACAAACAATTCCATTATTTGTTGAGGGTCAGAATTTTATTTAGGTTTATCGTAGTCAAATGCTGACCTATTCTTTGTTTTGTATTTCAAATTTCACTTTTCGTCATTGATTAACTGACAATATGCAATACAGTGAAGCGTTTTACTTTTTGCAGTGTATTTGTTTACACAAAAACCATTTTGTTTGCAATATGTTCAAATTATCTAGCCTGTTTAAAGTGGCACTTAAAATGAAAATAAGCCTGGCCATTTTCGGGATTTTTGTCCCGGATTCAGAAATTGCAAGTTTTTCATTGGGTTCAAATTAAGTGAATACGAACGTTAGCCAGGCCCTACACTAGCTAAAGTGTGCACAAAGTTTTTACTATGCAAACAGCAACATAAACTAAGGTATACTGGAGAATTTGAAACAAATGTTGACCTTTGGCTGGCGAAATCATCTAAAAAATGCATAACAGTTATATCTTTTTATTTTTAATAAATTCACATAATTAAATCAGGATTGCTTCATTTATTCTTTGAATAAAGAAAGAATAAAGAAAATCTAGCTACAGAAAGCGGAGACTTAATGAACTTTAATGTGAAGTATAGCAGGCAATTTTTGTCTTTCTGTATCTCAAAAAGTCTAACCTTACATCAGTGTTGTGAAGTTCTATAATATATTTGCGCAAATTTAGTTCTATATTTTTGTTTCAAGTAAGCATGCTTGACCGCAAAATGTATAGTCTTGTGCATAATAATACTGAATTATGGTGGGCTTTGGTGTAATACATATATAAGCGCCTTGAGCATTTTGTGGAGATGTGCGCTTAATAAATCTTATTATTATTATTATTATTATTATTATTATTATTATTATTATTATTATTATTATTATTATTATAAGTTTGTCGAGGGTCTTATGGCAGTGTTTAAAATGTTTATTTTTTAAATATAATTCTGAAAGGAACAAAGATCGCTTTGCCTGGTCACAACGTCTGGGACGCAACTATAACTACTTCACACTAGAAAACACTGGAATGCAAATATATTAAAAATCACTATGCTAATGCACATCAGGCGTGTTGTTTAAATGATATTTAAATGCAATAAATTAATATGGCACAACTACAAAATTTAAGATATTTATAAAATAATTATAAATATCCATATGACCCTTTACTATATTTGACCCCAGTTCTGGTACGATTTAGCATTTGAAAACTGCTGATAATAGTATAATCAGCCATACAAATATATAATAAGTGTTGAACATTGTGAATAATGATATAATGTTAGTGTCCATGGTTAGTGCTACATGCATTTCACGTGCTCTGATTTCATGCAAAAATTGAAAGAACTCACATCAATCTTAAGTTTGCTTGCCTGCGAAATGTACCTTTTGTTAGCATTCTAATTTGATTTCCTGAAATGTTTCTAAATTCAATTTTTAAAGAAATAAAATGTTTAGCGTCACAAAGGTTGATAAATATATATAGTGGTGTAGCGGAGGGGGTGTTCATGTAATAATCTCATATCTTAAAAAATTTAAAAAAAAAATAAAAAATTTCAGACAGACAGGACAGTAGATTGGGAGTCAAGAATATGGAAACAGCCCTCACTACATATTTCCATACATTTGCGTGAATTCTTAAACTGTTTAAATATGTGAGAGTTGATGTGTCTAAATAATAAATTATCAAAATATATTTATGCTACTTACATGATTTCAAGTTTAATGAGTTCAGCAAAAGCATCTGTATCGATAAGTCTCAAATTGTTTTGGTTCAAATATCTGTGTGCAAAAGAATAAAGATATACATTGATTTTTAACACGAGGTTTGTATTGTATCGAAATAATGATATAGGCTCTATTTAGGCTTAATGGCATTTGACTACCAGGAAACAGATTTCACAGTTATAATTGTGGATTTCCATCCGTGAATTCAGGCCATGGCAGGTTATTATGCTTCTGGAGGTCAGTATATCACATAGTAGTGAATTTTCACCTCGTCTATGCACAATCGGATTGAATACGTCGGTGTTTTTTTTCTAGTAACACCTCACACCAATTCCCGCTTAGTAAATCATTGCAAAAGACATTACTATCTTTAATACGAAAGGATTGAGCAGAAACAGGTTTACTGTGGTGGTATAATTATATCACCATCAATAATCTGCAATATCGGAAGATGGTCTGAAATGTCGTCGATTATAATTCCAGATTTGATTTTAGAATTTATTTGGTTCGAATAAAAATGATCAGTTAGCGAAGCACTAGCCGGAGTTATTCTTCTTGGTTTCGAAATTGTAGGGTAAAAAGAATGAGATAAAATAGTATTAAGATAAGAATTAATTGAATTATGTTCTTGAAATTTAAGTAAATCGATATTGAAATACCCCATAATGTGACAGTGTTTGTTCTATATATCAATTTGATTGAGAACTTCATCAACAATTTTAGTAAAAGGATCTAATTG